GTGTGTATATCATCAGGAGCGTATAATGACAAATTTGTCATCATAATATCCTCGCTCCTGATATCATGCTGCGCCAGCTGTGTACGTGCAGCCGCCGTCAGTAAGCCGCAGTATATAAGCCGCCGTATGTTAGTGACAAGGCACTCGCATGTGGATGACATAGCAAGCTGCTGCCGCGTGCATGTAGAGAGGGAACGGAGGAAGGTGGACGTGGTGTGTGCGGCTGACGTTGTTGCTTCGTCTCGTGTTGTTTTTCTCGGTCGGGTTTTCTTGTCAGAAACATCGCAGGCAGTTATCACTATCATGACTCTAAAATGTCATACGTACGTCACAGTGTCGTGCAGGGCAAGCGTCATATAGTTTCAGATTTGTGCTAGTCAGCTACTATTATTACTATAATGACGGTATCGAATAGACATGACTATTTGCGGTGATTCTGACAACGAGGCGCCGAAAATCAGGCTGCGTCGAGGCAGCACGTGTTGGCCAATTTCTGTCAAGCGGGGATGACGTGAAGAGATCGGTTGCAATTACCATGTTTCCTGGGGGGTTTATACTGACGTTGGCAGACATTTGCAGTCGCAGGAAATGTGATATCGTGTTCGAAAAGTGGCCATCAAAGTGCATTCCTCTTATTATAGCCTTTCCGTTACAAAACGCAAAAGATGCTTGTTGTAAACAGTGTCACAATCAGTGTGTCTATAGTTGTTTGCTATACAAAATAGAAATCTGTAGGAGGGATGGAGAACGCTTATCGTAGTGACACCAGCCTCGTTAAATGGCAGTTACATCTGGCAATATCAGTCGTACAGTTTGGTGAATGTCAATTGTGTTTTTTATAAACGTTATTTTAACGTTTGGAAGGTTGTCCTGACGAGTATGGAAATCGGTGCATGGGATAAGTGGTTCTTTGTGAATCTTATTTTAGAGAAACGGTTACCAAATATAAAACCAAACGTTTTAAGTATCATCTCACTTTATTTTTTAGGTTGAAATTTTCTGTGATTAAGTTCGTGCCCGTGGCCTTGTATCAAGGTCGCGTTGTGGTTAGTTACTTGGTTCAGATCCCATTGAGTTCAAGGTCGTGGTTCGGGTCGTGTTAAGGTCAACCTTGTGGTTTTATTTATGTCTTATTGACGTCAGGGTTGAGGTTTGGGTCGTACTAAGGTCACGTGCGCTATTAGTTAGTGTCAACGCCAAGCCTATGGTTTAATTCGTGTTAATAGCAACAGCCTTGTGATTTGGGTCGTGTTGAAGTCAACCTTGTGATTTAGCCTTTAGGTCAAGTTTGTGGATTCACGTTCTGTTAAGGTCACGCGTATGGTTTTACGTCGTATTGATGAAAGTCTATGGTTTGGGTTCTGTTTGGGCCATGATTGTGGTTTTGGTCGTACTGAGGTCAATTTCATGCTTTCGGTGGTGGTGCCTTGTGGTCTGTTGCGGGCATGTTTATGGGGAGGTTTATTCCCGGTTGGCCTACTCCCATTTCGCCTACGGCAAAATTCCCATTTCGCCTACAGCAAAATTCCCAGTTGACCTACACCCATTTCGCCTACTCCCAATTCGTCTACGCTTAAAATCTACCCCTTTCCCATTTCGTCTACGATCGGTTTGTTCACTAAATAATCATTTATAAATAATAGAAATTGGTTTTGATTGGCATATATAGACTACAGGAACCAGAAGCAAAACATAGGTACAAATAATGAGAACACAACTTGTACAATGTACATTGGGAGAGTAGATTATGAGAGTAGACGAGATGGGAGAAGGCCAACTGGGATGTTACCGATGGGGAAGCGTATGGTGCAGGTCACTTTGAGGTCAGGTTCGTTTACGTGGCCGTGATGGCGGTGGCATCGGCTTTAGATCTAGCGTCGTGTGCGATCGTTGCGTGCGTCGTTACGTTGCTTCTGTGGTCAAGGCGGACTCGTGCTGACTGTCGATGACACCGCCGAGCTGCCGAAATCTCTCTTTCTCTCTCTCTCTCTCTCTCTCTCTCTCTCTCTCTCTCTCTCTCTCTC